TATCGATAGAGGGTTCAAAGGTGAAAAAACTGTTCACCTTTTTATTATAATATCATGCCATTCGCTGCTTTTAATTATGTAAAATAACGTAACGCTTTCGTTGTCACAATTTTTAGTATGTTCAGTATTTCATAATTTTGTAAAACAAAGCGTTTGATGTTCCATTAATGGTTTAAATGACGTTGTAGTGCACTTCTTTTTATATCAAATCACGCTGTTGTCTCTTTAATTATTAGATAAAATCAGGCTGTTCTGTGTTTCTTGATTATACAAAATAACACTGTTCACTCTTTCATTATTATATAAAACACACAGTTCACTTTTCTTCTTAGCTTATGAATCGTGCTCTGTTTAATTACGTACAATCTCGTTGTGGACTCATTCGTTATTATGTAAACCAGCTCCCACCTTAATAAAAAACACGTTATTTCTTCAAATATTATAGTAGTTATTTTAAAAGTATTGATAGGAATGCACAACGAGGGTCGCGAGCTCGAGTCCCCGTCACCGAACATGCTCGTCCTTTCAACCGTGAGGACGTTATGATGTGACGGTCAATCCCACTATTCGTTAGTAAAAAAGGTAGCCCAATGTTTAGCGGTGGGTGATGTTGACTAGCTGCTTTCCTTCTAGCCTATCACTGCTAAATTAGGAACAACTAACGCAGATAGCCTTCGTGTCTTTGCGCGAAATTCAAAACAAAACAAACCTAACTTTTTTAATGCTATAATAAGTATTATACACATTCATAAAGGTTAGTGCTAACGTTAAGAAAAGGCTGTTAAATATTGATAAATGTAGTTACACCATTGAAAATATGTATACTGGTATATTCACCAATGGCAACGTGTTTTCTTCTATCCCCTCATTGAGCACGTTCAAAATTAATTGATACATTTATTATGTTTTGCAGCCACCATTCTGGGAGGTATCAAATAGTTCTGAAACTAGACTTACTAGCCGCAGATCGATGGTCCTCATCCCGCTTAATGGACAAGGACTAATATATAGGTTTCAAATGTTACAGTATTTAATTGTGTCAGCCAGATTACCGATTAACATCATTACATGGCGACTTGGCTAGATGATGGGATGTCGTATTGGTGTAAACAGTTAATGCTAAAGTAATTGTAGTGGTTTGCAGATATAGAGAATCACGTAGTAATAGCTTAGCTGAATTTCTAACAGTTATTTCAAAGTACTCTGCTTCGTCATTCGGGGTTGTCACAATAAACGTGTTTTTTTTAAAGGAGTGTCATTAGAAAGTGCTTTGTAGCAGTGTTACCAGAAAGTTCTGTTATAGGGGAGTGTCACAAGAAAGTGTTTTGTTGTAACAGTGTTACTAGAACGTTCTGTTATAAGGGAGTGTCACTAGAAAATGCTCTGCTTTGTTATAAGGGAGTATCACAAGAAAGTATTCTGTTATAAGGGAGTGTCACTAGAAAGTGCTCTGATTTGCTATAAGAGAGTGTCACAAGAAAGTGTTCTGTTTTAAGGGAGTGTCACTAGAAAGTGCTCGGATTTGCTATAAGGGAGTATCACAAGAAAGTGTTCTGTTATAAGGGAGTGTCACTAGAAAGTGCTCTGATTTGTCATAAGGGGTAGCATAAGAAACAGAAATAGCCGTTGAATGATCGAATAACTGAAGTGCCCAGTGGAATTTGTTAGTGTTTATTATTATATTCAGTTATATCCCCTGGTGGATAAATCGCTTTGTGTGAGTAATTTTGTAAAATAGTGGGTGTTCGGGTGCGAACAAGCCCCCTTTTTGAAAGTCAACTGCAATTTGATGGCAAGGGATAGTTTAATCTCGTGCTGCGAAAACGGTAAACGTGGGTTTACAATATTAAGTTCGTAACCTTTTTCGTTTGCTAATGTGTTTCTTCCATCTCACATGATCCTTGCTATAGACCTATACTTAGGCCTACATGTGTTATTGATTTCAAAAAATAACCTCCACCTGAAAAAATCTTGGCGGCGGCCAAGCATACAATGTTGTTTTTAGCTAAAAATAGCAACCCCTTAATTATTTTGGGAATTCTGGCTCTGAATATATGTAAAATTCGTTTGTATTTGATACAAATAACTAACAAATATCCAAAATATACCTCCACAAAGTCTGGAAGAAAATTAGAAATCATGTTGCAGGCTGTTCTTAGTAATATATTGAGATTTGTAAATAGGAACAAGTATATCGTACTCTTATTAATTTACTCCGAATGCTGGAAAGGAAGATTAACTTTTGGTTAAAAAAAAACGTTTTTTGAAGTATCTGATAATGTTTCTAATCCCAGGATATCTGTCTAGTATTGTTTTGATCAATCAAACATACTTCACATCTTTAACAAATAATTATCTACGTTTGGCTGATAGGTCCTCAAATTACCGCCTACGTAGCCTTGCTATTAATATGTCACGTGACCCATGGGGAGTGTCTCCGTGAATGATGTGTTACCGACGCGTTGATTTCCCCTCAAGCTATTTTAAACGAAAGTGGAAGGATACAATCGTTGTGTACGTATCCTGATTGTTTAGGAAGTAGTTAAAAAGTAGTTCGGCATTTAGAAAGTGATGAGGGCAAACATTTTGGGTCGTTTCGTTGACCGTTCCTTTCTCTTAGATGTTAGTCACTAACAGAAAAAAGATCATATCGTGACTCAGATTATCCCAAAATCTTTAAGTAGCGTCGTTAAAAATGATATTCTGAGTTATACCCAATGTACAGCGAAAAATATTTGTTTTGTACCATCTGCAAAATAGGAGAAACTCAAGATAAGATGTTCAGGTGTAGCCAACTGCGCCCTAGCATAGAGTAGGCCGCAACGAATAAATATATTGGTTTACGTTTCCATCATGTATTACAATATGAAGTCTGTCAGAGCTTTTTTTTTTAGTTGGTTTAACTTGCTGTGTAAAAAATAATAAATCTGCATCCAAACCTTGTTATTTTTATTAATGCTATTATTTTTGTTGACCAATTGCTGTAAAGTTTAAAAGCTTTTTATAGTACTGATCCCAACACATCTTTACTTACAAAGAAAGTCACATGAATTTAAATTAATATGATCATTATAACACCAGACTGGACTGTACTTGCTACAGTTAAAAAATAAATAGCATATAAGAGACAAAAAGGACTTTACCACCTGTGTGTCCATCCATCTTCATTTAATAGATATAAATTAAACATTGTTTTAAAATTGGCAGTACATCTGCTGATTTATCATTTTATAAATTACAGAATATTTCATTGCTGATATCCTTATTGCGATGACAGAAAAGTTCAAGAGGCCCTTAGAAAAGTGATTAATACATTTTTCAGTAATGACAAAAGTTTTACATGGACTATCTATCAAAGTATTGGTTGAATGCATTAAATGCTGGAAACTTGTTTTTATTTGTGCATATAATGTTCTCTATATGACTGATATAACAAAATTTCCTTTATTAATTCCATTGTGATAAATGTGGTTATTGCTCGCTTCTTTTTTATATCTAAGTAGTGAGATGTACATTGACTTTGTCATTTAACAAGAGCTGAACTAGTGTAACTTTCATCAGACTAGCTTGCAAAACTGTGAACATTTAGATTGTTACCATGAGAAAGATTATTGGATGCAGATATTCAAATGACACTATAGTGTTCTATAAACAAGCAATTGATTATGGGGTTTGGACCAGAAAGGATTGCCTAGTTTTGATTTGCAGGGTCATTTCTTGGAGAGAAATCATAAATATATCAAACATCACCCAATGAACTAAAAATAAACATGTTTTTCAAAACAAAATTTATAGAGACAGTGTTAGTTTTTATAATTATAGAATTTATGCTAATTTCTTCCATAAAATTTGTCCTAGAAAAACAGTAACAATTTTTATATAACTTTGACATCTGAAAGTTTAGATGGGCCTATTGATATTAACTTATGGTCAGAGCAGAACTAAAAATCATCTTGGTAAAGAGTATAGCTAATTAAATATACTTTTCTTAGGTTTTTATATGTACAGATTAACACACTTGTGTGCAGGAAGTTAATGGGAATGTTAATAATACATGTTCTCTTCTCAAAAGGAATATATATTTGAACATTTGGGAACTGGCCTTTTTATCTGTTGTTTTGTTTTTTTCAAATGCAGATATAAATATTTAAAAGCCAAGATAATGTGCAGAAGGTTTTACTTGCCAATGTTCGGAAAGAAAGTGGTTTCTTTTGTCAAATTCAAAAATTAGCATGAGTAGAAAATGTCATGGATGGAGTATCAACTTACATTTGTTATTAAGTGATATAGTCAAATTCTATGTATTATTTTTTTTTCTTTTAATAGTAATATCAATCAAACATTATTTTGAAAGTAAGATGTATTGATTGGAGTTGGACAGCCACATGTGTACAACTTTGTTCCTGTATTAGTTGCATGATAGTATTCTCTTCTTAGAATTGAGCTGTAGTTTCATTACATTACCTGTACAATCCATCTTATTGTATAGATTTGATTTAGTATCAGTTTGTTTGTTGTAATGATAATATCATTTTCAGGATGGCTCAAATTTTTTAAAATTTTGATGTTAGTATAACAGTGTAGGTAAACACGTAATACTTCTTTACAAATGTCAACTTGCTTCTAAACGTATAAGTAATTCTCAAACATTACATATAGAGCTACCTAATTTAATTTGTTTTGTCTAAAAATGCTTACTCATAATATGTTAATCTAACTTTATGGAAATGTTGTATGTGCCTTATCTGTTTTTTATATTGTGTGTGTTGCACTTATACATGCCTTTTTGAAATGCATCCATCACAAGGTTTAGCTGTGTTTTTATTGCTAGAGTTCAGGTAGTTGCATAATAAGGACATTATCAGGGCTAGTTGCTGTTTGTGAATGGCAGTTCGAAGAGAAACTACAACTAGCAATAAAGGAAACAGTTAAGGCATATGGGTGGAATAAAATTGTTGTATTTTCGTCTTAACTTAGATTGTGTAATGGTCTTATTCTAGGCCTGGCGGAAAACATGGATGATAAAAGTATGCCAACCAATTTTATATCTTCTTTAAATTTTTGTAAGTGTACTTAACTTTTGATGCACAAAATTGTAGCAAATATATATGTGTGTGTGTATATAATGATATCATTAAATTCTAGAACTGGCGTTATATTACCTAAATATTTATCACATGAAAGACAAATTTGACTTTGTTTTATGATGTTTAATTTAACTAGAATTGTTGTGAACTAAAATACTTTTTGTAAAAATTTATTCCTTTAAATATGACGTTACAGTTTTTTCTTGGTATTTCTTGTTTGTTTTAATAAATCTGCATATGTATTTTAAAGATGTGAGCTTTAGGAGTTTTTTATTATAAAGTTCATGTTTAGTGTCACTTTTGTACTGAAAATAGAAAAAAAACCAGTTTTAATTGAAAGAAAAACCTTTAGTAGAATATTCTAGAAATAAATTATGTTTTATATAGAAAGTTTTTAATATTGTCTTTCAAGTAATCATAAAATGAAATATTTCTAAAAGTATTGTAGCATTTGTAAAAAGTAATAATAGAAAAAGCTAGTTTTTTTTTACAATATTCTTACTTTTTCCCAATTGACAAACTTTTACAAAAATGTATTTTTTTGTTATCACCTTCTGCCATTCTAGCACCACTTTCTGTATAATAACAAAGGTTATGTTTGGTGATGTGATAGTTAAATTGCATTCACATTTTTACATTTTTCTAACACTTGAATATTTTTTTCTGTTTGCTTAAATATGTAGATATTTGTTTTTGTTGCTCCATTTTTCATGATATTAAATCTAAATCAATTTCTACAGCTTTTCTTTCTCCTTAAACCAAAACTTATGGATTACAGTGCAATAGTTACATTTATGTTATGTCACGTAATGCTAAGCAGTAAACTCAGTTTTATCTTCCATTTGATCAATGTGGGTTAAGGTGATAAACCCCAGTTTACCAGATTTATGCACCTGACATATCTCACCAATGTTCATTAATGAGTGAATTAGAGCTTAAATGTTTTATTATAGTGTTACAAAGACGTCTGTTCAGTAAGACGTGTAGACATTTTATTAATCAATTTTTCACCACAAGTGGAAGTTGTCTAAATTACTAATTATCCTAATACAGGTGCCTTAGATGATGAACAGGAACAAGAAATAGAACTACTGAGTGAAAGAGATCGCCACCAACTAAAGCATAGAGAACTTTTTCTGTCAAGACAGGTTGAAACCCTGCCAGCTACACACATACGTGGAAAGTGTACAGTCACATTGTTAAATGAAACAGAGTCATTGGCCTCATACTTGAATAAAGAAGTAAGGAACTTAAAAATATATGTTTTCCTTCATGAATAGGATATTTATACTATATATTACTCTTGTATACAATACTTGTTTTTATTCTGTACTGTTATTTCTCTATGGTGTTTTTATTTGCATATGAAGTTTTGTTTTCTCCACATTACTTTCTGTGAAATATTTGTCTTTCTCTAGGTTGATGTTTCACACACCTAGTAAATGATGTAGTTTTTGATTTTCTAGGACACATTTTGATAAAAAAAATCAATGTTTAAAATTCTTTCTCCTAAGTCTTATAGTGTGATGTATTTTATCTCTTTAGGAAGTTTTTCTTTGTGTATGATGATTTCTTCTTCAAGTTAATGTTTGATATGTTTTTGTTACTTCAAGGTGTTTAATGTTTTTATTGTATACCTTCTCTTTAGTATGTTTTTTTTTCATACACAGGCTTTGTATGAGTGCATGAAAGTACCTTTTTTTGAAAACCTGCAAAAATTGCCATTTTACTGCCAATATCTTAAAAAAGTCTTATAACTATAGTGGACATTTGATAAACAGTTGACCATTCTACCAACACAAAAACAGTTTTCACCTATTGCCCAACAATATATAAAATCCAAGTGTACAAGTAAATACTCCTTACATCCACATATAGCATTCAAATGACAATTGTTAATCCAATACTTAAATAATCATGTTAATCAATTTGCCTCGCAATTAAGTAATGTAATTAGCATGCCTCACCCCCCTGCGGGCCTCAGATCAGTTTGTGCTTTCATACTATTGTGGGCCTGGTATGGCCAGGTGGTTAGGGTGCTTGACTTGCAATCTGAGGGTTGGGTGTTCAAATCCCCGTCCCACCAAACAAGCTTGCTCTTTCAGCTGTGGGGGCATTATAATGTGATGACAAATCCCACTATTCATTGGTAAAAGAGTAGCCCAAGAGTTGGCTGTGGGTAGTGATGACTAGCTGCCTTCCCTCTAGTCTTTCACTGCTAAATTAAAGATGGCTAGTGCAGATAGCCCTCGTGTACCTTTGCATGAAATTCAAACCAAACCAATCATACCATCATACTGACTGTCCCTTTTTGGACCAATGTTTGTTAGGTTCCATATTGCCTGTTTGGGGTGTGGCTCCCAAATCACCTGTCAGTCTGATGCATGCCCAGTATTTTTATCTGTGTCTTACCTTTACAACTCTTTTATGGTATCTTTCCTCTCTACACCTCCTCTCTGAGGTTCTTCACAGAAATCCTGAGGTGTTTTCTGGGAACACCCTTTCTCCTCTTTCCTCCATTCTAGCTCGTTTGTTGTCTTCAGCTCTGGTTTTGCATACATGGTTTCTCTGTTGTTGGGACCTTCTAGGTCATGATGCAATTTTGGCTTGGGCCTGTTTACCATCTGTTTATCTTCAAGATTTATGTATGGCCCCATTTCTGTGTCAATATGTTTTTGACATGATCCCGGAAACACTAGATCCAAGGGTCCAACAACAACAATCTACCCTTACCAATATTGTTGCACGTTTGTCTCAGTTGGAGCCTATACGCTACCTATTACCATTCCCATCCTTCCCCTTCTTGAGGTGCCTCTTCTCAGTGGGCATTAAATCACTTCCTTCTCATCTGACATTGTCTGGTGGTGGTTCATTTTGACAACTCTATGGTGGTGGCACATATGAATCACCAAGGGGGCACCTGGTTGAGAGATCTATGTTTTTGGGTGTTGGATCTCTTATACTGGACTCACATGCAACACATTCATCTCATTGTGTGTTATGTACCAGGTGCTATCAATCTTGTTGAAGATCATATTTTCCATCCCACTGGATATATACGACAGAGTGGGACTTAGATTCACTAGTTTTAGGGAGCTTTGCTTGTGGTGGGGTTCTCTCCATGTGAATGCATTTGCTACGAGCCTTAATCACAAATTACCTCTAATTTGGTCGCCAGTTCCTCAGGCTCTGGCAATTGATGCCTTCAGCCAAGTTTTGTCCCACGAAAATCTTTATGTTTATCCTGCTATTTGATTACTTCATCAGGTTATCTCTCTCATCCATACCACTCCTTGTTGGGTCAGCCGTGGTTTCATTGGTTACAGCACCTGCTACTCTCCCCTCCTGTACATCTTCCGTCATCTCCCTACCTTCTTCATCAACCTTTGTCAGTGGTCCTACTTCACGTCCTGCATCTTCACGCTTGGCTTGGAGATTTCCCACTGATAAGCCTACTGTGGCTTGGGTAGGTGGAATTTCTCACTTGGTTTTTTGACCGGGGGGTCTTTGGTCTCCTCTCTCTCTCTCGAGTTATCAGGTGGCTTTATCCCATACCTTTCATTTTTCCTGATACTGTACAGTTTTTACTTCATCTGACCTTGCCATGCTATTGAATTCCTTACAGTTACATCACCTTCCCAGCAGATTGGGATGTTAATGTGGTACTTCATTCCTCATATTCCATGTTTTACCTTTCCCTTAAAACATATTTCCTTCTCCTCTTAGCCTATGGACATTGATTGTGAGATTTGTATATCATTGACATTTTGCGTACACTTTATCACCCTACCTATCTTCTCCTTTATCCAGATAGTTCCTTCTTCCCAAAGACCTCTTCCTTTTCCCATATTTCCCTTCCTTTCATTTCTCATCTTTATTCTCGACCAGATCCATATAGGCTTTTGTATCTAGTCAGGGCTCTTCGTTGTTATATCGCCTATATGGCTTCCTTCTGTGGTACCTATTCCCAACTTTTTATCCCCAGGCAGTCTTCCTCCCTTTGTTATTTTTCACCTTCAACCCTTGCTAATTGGGTCCGACTTTTGATCTGATTGGCTTTTCCTCCTTGCCTACTTTATCCTAGAATTTGTTCTGGTGTATTCTCATCAGATTAGACACCTTACCTTTTCCCCTGCTTCTCGTCTTCATTTTCCATTGGAGGAAATTCTACAATCAGGCATGTGTACCATGCCCAATACATCATATCATGGTTTCTTCTTCGTTGGAGTTTCGTCTTCCACCTGTGGCCATTCTTCAGACTTCATTGTGACTCTTAACTGATAAGTTTCTATTCATACTGTCTTTTATTTTCAGGGGCCTTTTCTTCATTCCTCATTATATAGATCCTGCTCTGTGGTGAATGGTGCCTGATCAGGTATTCTTGAACTTGAAATTTGCACTGTACAGCCATGTTGACTTGTGCTTTATATTCTGTGGTTTCACAATGCCCACCTTTGAGATGGGGTGTTCCACAAGATCACTTGTAGATGAACAACCTTGCAATATTTTGATTCATAAACATGCATGTCTCAGACTGTACCACTCATGGATTGCATGGGTAAAACATAAGGGGATAGCTGTCCATCCCTGCCACACGTATAGTGAATAACTTGGTATGTCTGCTTTTCAAAATAGGGTTTTTATGGTCACCCATTGCACTGTCTCTGGTGATGATGTTCCTTTGGACTCTCTACCACCTTTTCACTCTTCTTTCTTCTAATGGAGTATGGGACTCCTTTCCACTTCCCAGTTCCAAGCCACTTGGGTAATTGACTGGAGACACCCTCCTGAATAGGTTCTACACAGAGGTGGCTATAACCATTCAGTGCAGAGTAGAGCGGTGGTGATTTGTGGGTGTAGATGATGTACTGTCCTCCTCTTTGTGATATATAAATGCGAAGGAGTGATACATCAAAATGTAATTCACCCCTTCAATTGGAAGCCCTCATCCTACCCCCACCCAGATGTTGGTACCCCGCGGCTGGGTTTTGGATTTAGGGTAGAACCAATCGACATAAGTCCTCCCACATGTTTCAGGTTGTTTATCTTCCTCCCTCAATTTTCCTCCATCTGTGTTGTGGGTCATAGAAGTGGTACATGGGATTGTTACGGTTCTGTCGATTGGCTCTCCCTCGTCCTATCTTAATACAGAGACGTTATTGCCTTTTTGATGGTTCTGGTATGTTCCCTAGCTGGGGGAGTTGATTGCATTCAATAGACATCCTTTTGATATTGGATGTTGGTTTCCCCAGATCAATAGCTCAGTGCTAATACTTGTGTCATACCTGGGAGACAGCGTGATTCTCAATCCCCCTGTCTCTTGGGTTTGAGGAAAAGACAGTATGATCCTCATCCTAATTCTACGTGGATGTTGGTTCTCAGTGGCATGGATTTAGGATGTAGTTGACTTAATGAATACGATCCGTCCTGACCTAACTACTTTACACCTGAGGGCACATCCAATGTTTTACCCACTTTTTTATTTGTGGAATTGAGTTATATTTATTTTATATGGTAAGGAACACGATCCTGACACAGTTCTCCCACTGCTCTCCTTTTCTGCTCTTCTCCATATTTCACAGAGGGGTGAAGAATATACCTGGTTTAGAAGTGGTGCAGTTCCCCTCATCTGATCTTCAGATCTGACTCTCTTGTTTCCAGGGGTATCCTTCGGAAGCTTGGGGGGGGGGGTTTACTTCTATCATGAGAGGAGCTAAGTACTGTATCGAAGTATTGAAAGCTATAATTTTCCTATATTGAAAATGTATTTCCAAGAGGTACTTACCTCTACTCCCATTTCATACCCTTCCTCCCCTCTTTACTCCAGTGCTCACGTCTTCTGCCAAACTTTAAAGTGATAGTTTGGTAAAGGAGTATAGAGGGAATTGCATGCTTCACGTGAAGTGGTGAAGTGACTCATGATGATTTGCATGAGAGACACGTTGGAATCTTTGAATTCCATTTGGGGAGAGCAGAATGCTTGTGGCATGTGTAACAAAAAAGTTTGCATATAGAGGACAGCACAGAATGAGAATAGCTAATTTTGTGAGAGGAGGCAAGTACAAATCGGAAATACATTTTCAGTATAGGAAAATTATTACTCTGAAATGATTAGGGCATCTAATCACCGTTATCAATAATTTGTGACTAATGACAGTGGTGATTATTAGCATAAAACTAGAGTATATTACAAAATCTGATTGTTTTATCTCCCTTACTCACAATTATGTGTGAAAATGAA